GATATATCATGTGAAAAAAAAGGAAGACAGAGAGACAGAGAGAGTGAGAGAGAGAGAGAGAGAGAGAGACTGATTTCACGGTATAAAAAGAGAAAGAATAAAGTATGTAGGTACACATATGAGAAGTTAAGTAAAGTGAAGTAGTGGTGACGTAGCAGGATGGGAACGTTCTCTTGAAATTCCCAACTAAAAGTTTCCACAATTTAATCTTTATCGCGGTCGCGTGACTCGTAACTATACGAGGATAGAGAGTCTAGTGAATTCCTGCGAACACATTTTACAAGATCGTCGTAAAGGAATACCTTTAGTAAGAACGGTACTACTTGTAGTACACCGGAAGTCTAGGGGGATAATTTTGTGTCCGTCCGTTGGATAGAGAGGAGACTTTATTACCTAATATCACAATTTCCACTTTAAGACCGGTTTTCTTTGATAGCTCTTAACTATAAATAGAATATTCTTATGTGAATTCTTTCATCTCCCAATGATGATTCTTTCATCATTTCTAATCTAACCAACCTACGCGTTTCAAATTTTACTTGCCAAAAATACGCGTATACTTATATTTGATTTCTTTTTTTCTCCCCCTAAAATTTAAAATCAATATATATTGCAAATTTAAATGATTCATTGTTAAAAGAAAAGAAACATAAATGTGAAAAAAGAAAAAGAAAACAACTGGTGTGTGTACTTATGTATGCACGTAAGAAGTTATACTTTTTTAGCATGACAAAACGAACATAACCTCAATAATCTCAAAAATAATTTTAATTATCTCGCGTAACAATATAATATTCTACACATTTGTCGAAAATACGATAATATGATAAAATAAAATGACATTGATAAAGGTTTTAATTAATATGCACGATCTAATTAATATTTATATTTACGAATTACTTCATGCCAGTAAATTTGAAATTGTTTTTCCCGCGCATCGTAATTATCGACAACTTCGTGGTGTCGATTTTTTTCGGTCGCATCTAAATTCACTTTTCAAAAGCGCGCCAAAAGAAGTATAACTTTGAAAAAAGAAATAAAAATAAGATATCCATAGTCAAGAATGCAAGTTGAAGATAAGGAAATCGCAATAATAATAATCGAAAAGGAATGAGAATGTACAAGAAGGAAAAAAAAGAAATTTGATCTTTCATCTTCGTCGTCAACATAGCGTGACCGGTCGAAGTAATCAAAAAGAAACGTTGCTATAATATCTCTTTTTATATTATCTTGTCCAACAAAATGAGAAAGAAATGGATATAGAGAGATGGGATTCATAGTTAAAACACAACAATGAACGGTATTACCTTGTATACCGGAAGTTAATTTCGTTCGAATAGAATGTAAAAATGGCGTTATGGTGTTAAAAGTTGAAGTGTCACGCTTGAACGCAGTCTCCATGATTTTTACCGTGGTTCGAACATCATCGGCATCTTCTTCCGCGAATCCCAAGTATTCCAGTGCACGACGGTAAAGGTAATGAGAAGGCCAGTATAAAGGGTGTGGTGGTAATAGTTGTAACGATGAGTTGTTAGTGTTGGTGTTGGTGATGGTGATGGTGATGGAGTGTGGGGAAAAGTTTCGAGAGTCAAGTTGAATTCCTTGTAATTAACGTGACGTCGACCCACTGACCCACTCGACTTCTTCATTTTGGTTCGTTGCCAAGGAAAAATACTTTTGACAAGTATGATCTCTTATATTATCGAGTAAGGATTATTTTGATCATTCAAGGATACGCGGATTGATATTTAAATATACTTCGAGATATGAAAAAGAAGAAAAAGAAGAAAAAAACAGATTGTCTACGTATACACAGTAAAATGCAGTGTTACCTGTTCAAAAAAACAAAAAAATTAAAAGCAAAGAGAAAGATTTTTGGATGAGACCAGTTGTCCTTCAGGATTCGAAGGACGACACCCTCGGTAAAGAAAGAAGAAAGTATCCGGTCGAGAATTCGACTATCTGTTTTGCATGTTAATATGGACGGATTTGTTGATTCTGGTTTTTCTCCAATTCCCAAGAATATTCTTATTTTATTTTCGTTTTATATACAACTTCGAGATATATCTTTTTCTTTCTCTTTCGAAAAAAAAAACAAAAAATGCGTGATATCGAATTAAAGAATAAATATTATTGACAAGTTCTTACATATTTATGATTAGAAAATGTTGATAAAAATATATGTTAAGAATGTGAAATGTCCCGAATGAAAAATTCTGACTGTTTAAATGTTGACAGGTCAAGGTCTGTGTATTCTACGAGAACCTTGATGTTGCAGTTCTTCACAGTTGCTAAACGAGCCACTAGATTTTCTTTGAAAAACGTTTACGTAATTTTGTTGTCTGGTCTGTCATCGCGATGAGTTAATCTGATCGAAGCTCTAACTCGTAAACAATAGAATAGTTCTCGTTTACCTTGAACGTTGACCATTTAAAACACTTCGAGTATCCTTTTCTATCTCGAAAGACAAAAAGTATTCAGTTAGATATATTTCCGACTAATTAAAAATAACGATTATTAGAAAATCTAAATGGGGTACTTCCTAATAGAAATAACTCGTTTAATTATTTTTCACGCCAAATTACACAAAACTAATTATATTACGAATTATATTATAAGATAAAGAAAATATTATACGAATATTATTAAACTTATCTCTACGTATATTTGTTTTTTTCTTTTTGAAAGTTATACTTCTTTTGGCGCGCTTTTGAAAAGTGAATTTAGATGCGACCGAAACAAATCGACACCACGAAGTTGTCGATGATATTTATACGATGCGCGGGAAAAATGATTTCAAATTTACAGCATGAAGTAATTCGTAAATAAATAAATTAGATTGTACATATTAATTAAAACCTTTATCAATGTTATTTAATATCTTTATTTTATTTTAACATATTATATTATCGTCTTTTCGACAAATGTAGAGTATTATATTAGTACGCGAGATAATTGAAGTTATTTTTGAGGTTATGTTCGTTTTGGTACGTTAAAAAAGTATAACTTCTTACGTGCGTACATAAGTACACCCACCAATTTTTCTTTTTTTCTTTTAGCAAAAGTCAAATGAAAAAAAAAAAACAAGAACATTTGCTGTTTTTTTTGTCGTTGAAAAAGGAAGTTAAACAATACCTTTCCCACGCGACCTGTCCTCGAGAAATTTTCTTTCCACGACCTACGAAGAGGAGGTGTAACTACCTTTCTTCGAGATAATCACCCTCAAAGAGTCCTCCCCCCCTCTATCCACCCCCTCTCCCCCTCTCTACATTTCTTTCGTCGCAACACGTTTGTCGTCTGAATAACACATACGTAAATAATTATGATATACATACATATAAATACGTATGATGTACAATACATCATCATCATCATCATCATCATCATATGTTGGCACAAATTGCGCAACGAGAATAATATTCGTGATTTCGCCTTCGCAGTCATGATGGCAAAGGAGAACAAACGAACCGGAGGGAGTCTCCTCCTCTCTAGACGACCTGACCTCAAGACCTCGAATTGGCTTCTGTCGATTCTCAAAGAAAGAATTCCCATTTGCCAGTTCTCTTCGTAATTCAACGTACAAGTTCTTTAACCTTTTAACTTAATAACATCATTATTTTCATTATTGTCATTTCACTTGGTTTGGTTAACCCCAATACATTTCATGAATAATTTATAAATAATATTATATAATTATTCTTTACACAAATATATATAAAGCTGAATTCTCTTTTTTGTTGTTGAGAGAGAGAGAGAGAGAGAGAGAGAGAGAGAGAGAGAGAGACAGAGAAATAATGTGTCACGATAAAATATTTTATATAATAAAAAATGTGTTATAACACACAAAAAAAGGTGGACGTTAACAATAAACAACAAAACACATCGTAGTATTCACCTTCATCTCTTTTTCTTTCTTTTTATCACTTGCTATAAAAAAGTAGTAATCGCTGACCTATAAAGGGCAGGTCAACGAAGCATGCCAGTGTTAACTTTAAACCAACTTTCGTCGACGTTCGTATACTGATTTAACCAATCACCAAAAGCATGCCTGTTTCTATCATGAAAAATATTCTATATTGGTTATTACATTAAATCTATTTGTTTATCTGATAAACTTATATTGATTTTTAACATTAATACGTTTGTTCTAATCGAATTAGAAAGATATTTTTTTGAAGCGTATTTTAAGGAGAAATTGATGAGATAATCAATTAAGATCTAGATGATGATTACTTAACACTGTCTACCGTTGATGATCATTTTCATGATGATGATCGTTAACCCTTTGGGTAACATTTGAAGTCTGAGAGTCGTCGTTCACTTGTTTTTCATTCACCATGTCATTTGGCAGCGATTACTTGAAAACATCTTAATACTACATATGTCACCAAAATATTTTACAAATAAATAAATTCTTACGTAAAATGTATTCTGCTTTTACATACTACTCGAAGCAACCAAAAATTATATCCCCGTTTCACATGCAAATATTTTCTCAAACAAATCCGTAACCAAAGGATTAAAAGTTATAACAATAATAATAATAATAATAAAGAAAATAACAGAATAGGAAATAAATAAATAATAAGTAGAATTAACATTCCATTTTGAATGTGTGTGAGACGAACAGGTAAAAGATAGTAGTCAGTTTCCTTCGACACGATTCTTGGGTGCACCCTGAGAGAACAACGTGCCCGGGGGTTCTCGATTCTCTCCTGTTAGCCAGGTAATAGTAATAATATACTGATGTGGTGTATATATAAATATTAGTTAGTATTAGTGGATATAGGAGTGTTAGTGTTAGTGTTAGTGATAGAGGCGACATACGGGAGGTGGTAGGTGCAGGGAGTGCCCGTACGGTATGATGGTGCAACAAGGAAAGAGATAATAAGAAAAAGGTAGGAAGATAGAAAGAAATAAAGAAAGAAATGAAGAGAGGGGTCTGCTGTCTCTCTGGTAAAGTAAGAGTGGGGCACCATCAGCGAAGTCTCTCTCACGCTTCACGAGCTGTTCTCAGTCTACGAGTACACCGGTAGAAGTTAGGAGTAATATCTTTCTCAGTTTTCCTTAAAAAAAACGTAAGAGTAGGGCGCGCGTGCGCCTACAAATTCATACAAAACTTCGATACTCTGTTACGTGTATTTTACTCTCTCTCTCTCTTTCTCTCTTTTTCTTTCTTTAACAAGTGTACGTGTGTGTGTTATTGTGTATATATCAAAATGACAACAGTGCAACAAGAAGAACATACAAAAAAATTGACAAAATATATGTCGAAATTGTGAGAGAACAATAGATTTATAAAATTGAATAGTATTTTAATAAAAAAAAAAAAGTTCTTCGCGACAGGGTCAGCAGCCATTTTTCCTTACGAGGGACTCTCTTTCTCAATGTGGCCCACCAAGTGGAAGTACAACGTGTGCCTTCTGCTACCGGCCGCGCCTTTGGATTCCTCAAAGTCCACCGTAGCAGCTCTCGAATTCCTATCATCGAAGTATCGACCTGTATAATCTTCTCATCGGGGTGTATGTATGTATGTGTATGTATACGCAACGATCTAATAGTGTACTGTTGCTCGAGGAACAGACTCCTTGATACGTGCCGCGAGTTAGCGATCACGACGAGGTTACTACACGTGCAGAAAGAAAGAAAGAAAGAAAGAAAGAAAGAAAGAGAGAGAGAGAGAGATTTTCTTTGGCGGAGACTACGCCACTGTGAAACGCCGCATACCAAAGAAGAGAGAGAGAGAGAGAGAGAGAGGGAACTTTGGTGGGAAGGAGTTGGGAGGGATAGTAAAGGTGCAAGCAAGTCGAAGGTAGAGGAATCGTCGTCGTATGAGATCGACGAGGACGGACAGAGAGGTTAAGAACGTGTAAAAGAAAGAAAGACAGAGAGAGAGAGAGAGAGAGAGAGGTAGGCAAGGATTGAGTGGTGGGGGGTGGGACTCGTAAGAAGGCGGCCATAATGGCCTGACGCCGATCTCAGCGAACGGCGGCGGCTACAGCTGCTGCGAAATATCCGAGCGGACTCTCTCTGCTTGCTCGAGTACCATCTGAAGCACGCCTCTTATTTTGCAACTAACTGAATCCCATCGTTGTCGTTGTCGTTGTCGTTGTCTTTGGAAAGTGCCTGCGTAATTCCTTAGTAGTGTAGTGCAACAATTCAACACTCTGTTATATCTGTAATCTATTCACTTTGGTGTTAGTGTCTTGTTAAGTTTGTTGTGTATTATCAAAATAGAAAGAGAGAAAATATAGGGGTTCCTTTCCTGATATTTTCTTAAGTAATTGAAAGAGAGAAAATGGCAGAATTATCCAATTGTTTAATCTTAACTCTTTGTGGTAAACTTGAATACTCTTGTTGAATAGAGTATTCTCGTATAATTACCTGCAAAGTGTTTTACACACATATAAATATATATATATATTAGGAATTAGATGATATTAATAGAAATATTTAAATAATGCGGGGTGCTAATCAAGAAACAGCCACACCGTACTGCCGGTGCAGAGTACTGTACCTTGGTAGTTCGGTACCTCATGCTAGTAAAGAAGGTTTGTTGGGTGTTCAAGAACCTTTGAGAGAATTGTATCCAGAACAAGGAGCGTTGGGTGCTCGTGGGATAGATTCCTGGTTGAGTGTATGGAGCAACGGTTTGCTATTGGAGAACGTCGATGAACATCGCAAAAAGGTCACCAGGTTCTTCCCTATAGAAGCATTACATTATTGTGCCGCTGTGAGACACGTAAAGGGTGGTAACGGGGATTCCTCGACAACGAGATTCCTGCCTCTCGATTCGCCTTTCGCCAGGACACCAAGCGCCAATCATCCGCCGCTCTTCGCAGCCGTATTGAGAAGAACGACCGGTATCAAGGTCCTCGAGTGTCACGCATTCATTTGCAAACGTGATATGGCGGCCAACGCCCTAGTGAGATGTTGTTTTCATGCTTATGCCGATAGCAGTTACGCCAAGGGATTGGATCCATCAACGGGAACAACCAACGGAATGACAATTGCCAATCCATCGAACAATAGTCTTTATCATACATTGGGCGGATCTAGTACGACTTTGGATAATCCACAGGGTAATCGTTTGGATGCTACATCGACTGACGATCTTAGTCTTTACAATGGTGACGAAAATCACAAAGTTTGGGCTAAGGGTCGTGACGAATTGGACGTTGTTTATCAAGAACAAGGAACCTTGAGAAGTAGTAAAGGTTCCAGGCCACGGCAATTGGTTGCTCCACCTCCGCCACCACCACCACCACCACCTCCACCTCCACCCTCTCAACCTTTGATGGTCGAGGAATCGACTTCTTCTGCTGCTAGGAGAAAGACTAATAAAAAAATGAAAAAATTAAAGACCCGAACAATGCACGAAGATCCGATGCAACAGCAGCAGCAACTGCATCAAGTACATCAAGGGATGTATACTAACGGTCATGGCCACCATACTCTCGGGCATCCAATTAGACAACAGCATTATCATCCACATCCATTACCACCAAGTAGTCGATCAGTTGCTGGAACTTTAGCGAGGCCAGCACCTGTTTTATTGGTACCAGCCGCTACACTACCGAGGAAAGCTCACCAACATCATCCCAGAGGATTGAGGCCAATCCCGGCATCAGCACCGATCGTTCCAATTTATGCTCCGCTCCCGGTGGTTCCACCTCCCGTCGCAGCAGCCATTTATCCAAGTGGAACCTACGGGACTGCTGGTAACAGAGGTAAAAGGCATTCCGAAGTAGAAGGCTCGACTTTAGGTGCTTCTAGAAGATTAGCAGCCTCCCACGCTGATTTAACATCGAACGAGCTGGGAAAATCGGCAGATAATACGGAAAACGAGTCACGATTTGGTACTGGGATCTACCGGCGGAAAGGTCACTTGAACGAACGGGCCTTTTCTTACAGCATTCGCGCGGAACATCGTAGCAGGAGTCACGGTAGTTTAGCTTCTTTGGGTTTCAGTGCGCAGAACGGTAACGTATTGCCCAAAGAGGAGAAGAAGGATCGAGAGATAGCTCAACTGGTGGCAGGATTAAATTTGGATGACAGTCCGAACGATCGAGTTCAACCTATACCAACTTCCAGAGCTGGACCATATCACCATCATCAACAACAACAACAACAACAGCAACAACTTCATCAACAGCCACAACAACAACAACAACATATGCAACCATTACCCAGGCCACGACCACGTTAGGTACATCTAACTTACGTCAATCGTTTCTCATATCCCTCAAACAACGTCGAAGTTATTGGCTTCTCGTGTTTATTTGCGATCGAGTTACGCTATGAAATAGAACGAACTGCTCTATTGGACTGAAGCAACATTCTACTCGACGTGGGCGTCTTCTTCTTTTGTGGCATTCGAGCGTAACGTTCTAACAGAGGTTATCATATTATTTCGAACACACTGTACTGTTGCCTGAGTTAACTACTGCTGCTCGATCAAACTGATATCAAATCCGATCACACGTTAGAGATATGCAGCATTAAATAATATGAAAATATTTATCAGAATTTAGAGACTGAGATGATAACACGAGTAAGTTATTCCTATAAAGAATAACGCATGATCCATTTAGATTGGCAGGATACTGTTTTGTTTTTTTTTTTGTTTAATCTTCAGATGAGATATAACCATTTTTAGTTTCTTCCAAGATTGAGTAAAGGATTAATTAGACGAGCCTAAATAATTATTGTCAATTTTACAACGAAGACGGATCATACTGTTGGTTTAAAGCTCGTTAGATGAATGCACATGTGCATGTTAAGAGCTGGCCTACCTCATAACGTTTCCTTTGAGAAAACGTCTCTGTTGTTTTATAGTGCTCGCTTATATTTATCATCATGTATCAAATTATTTTATTACATATGAATCTTACACACAAACACACACATACACACACCTATACATAGACGCGCATCTATGTAATATCATTATTAAAAATAGAGACGACTCCTATATTTCTCCATTGTTTTATTCAATTTTGATTATTTTTTTATATATATATATATATATATTTTTTTTTTTCTCAACATCGTTAATCCCCTGTGCCAAAACTTTTCTTTTGTTTCTTTAAATAAATGGTACATCTGTTCCCTAATAAAATAAATGAATAATAATAAATAAATAAATAAATAAATAAATAAATAAATAAAAT